CATGTTTGAATATTATTTTTTTTTCTTCTGTCTTTTCATTTTTTTAGAATATTTAAAGGATTAAATATGAGCAAGAAAAAGAAATTCCTATAAAATGAACAAAAACAATTGGAAAATGAATATTTTCAAGAATATATTTTAAAATGCATCAGGCAATTTATATATAAATGATTAAATCATTTTTGATTTTTTCTTTTTCTTTTAATAACTTGAAATATTTAATTTAAATAATAATAGAAGTTAGAAATATTTAATAAATTAAAGATATGCCTTAATTTATGCACTTTTTCTCTTTGGCTATTTTAATATTTTAGATATATTTTAATATTAATATTTCAATATTTTAAAAATGCATTAAGATTTGCTAGAAGAAAAAAAAAACATTCCCGGTAATCTCGATGTATAATATTATCTGCTTTAAAATTATCGAATTAAATTTGATTATATATATGGCAAATTAGAAAAGTCAAAAAAAAAAAAAACGGCAAGTAAACAAATAAAAAAAAAAACTGTCAAAATCTTGTAGTAATGAATAAGAGTAAATGAATAATAGATGACAATGTCAAGTGTCAACAATTGTAGTATTATGCTATGAAAAAATGAAATTTGAAAACGAATATTTTGTTTGCATAATTTTATTTCATTCAAAAATAAACGAAAATTTTATTTACTACTTGAAAGTAAAAAAAAATGAATAACTTTAATTGCTAAAAAATGAACTTAAAATTGTAAAAGTATACAAATATTAAAATCGATAAATAAATATTATATCTGTAAATATAAATGTAAAGCAGAACTGTAAGTATAATTGATTAACAAATATTTATATTATATTTTGAATAATTTAATAGAAATAAACATTACATAACAAAAAAATAATATAAATCGCTATTTATACCTTGAGAAATTCTGTAGAAATCACACTGTTTTATGCTTTTTACTTATACTTAAAGAAACATATACTTAAATACTTTTTTATCTCAAATAAACAAAACAAATCATTATCATATCGAAATGAACTTGATAAAAATCGTTATTATATGATTAAAAAATTTGACAAAATTGTTGTTACAAGAAAAAAAAAAACTCAACAAAAACTATTATTAACTGAAAACCTAAAAAACATAGCCTGAAATCTGAAAAACATGATAAAATCATGATAAAATCATGATAACATTATAAAAAAATCTAAAAGTGAAAAGAAAAAAAACGCAATGAAATATTAAAAATTTTAAAATATTGGAATATTAGAAAAGAAACTTTTAAGAAAGAAGCACAATAAAATTCAGTTTTATATTATATTATTAAAAATTTTGCTATGAATTAATCATTTTTTTTTGACAATTTTGTGAGAGAGAAAAGTAAGAAATTTTGTAAAGTTTTATTTTATGTGTTTTGTGATGAAATTTCCCTTTTTTTTTTTTTTAAAGATTTCATATGAATTTTACCAATTCAAATCGGACACTTTACTGTAATGCAATGAGTGTAATTGTCCTATTGCCTGATGACATTTAAATGAAATTATTCAAAAATGAAAAAATTGTTACTACTCTTTTCCTTTTTTTTTATTATTAAAGACAAATTTGAAATGTTATCCAGCCAAAGAAAATCGTACAAAATTTGCGGAAGGAAAAAAAAAGAAACAAATTTCATCATTAAATATAATAATACTTTGTTACAAATAAAATTTCCACATATTAAACAGACGTTTGATAAAAATTATCACATATAAACTTAGAAATAAAATGGATAATATCTCTAAAAATTAACAACTATCATACAACTGAATAAATATTAAAAATTTAATTTTAATTTATCATAATTTAATTTTTTATTAGTAATTTTTTTTTTATTTTCCCAGTTGGAATTTCTAATCAGTATTTTTTTTAATTTTTTTAAATTTAATTTTTAATCTGGTAAACATACATATACGAATGCCTTATACGGTTAAAAATTATGATCAGCAATCTCAACAGGTGATAGACTATTAAGCTAATATTAATTAATATTACTAGTAGTGACTTAAATTTTGCAAAACAATCTTTGCTAGAGAAGTCTAAAATTTATATAAACCAAATTATACAGCAAACAGATGGAACGTTCACGTATTAAACAAACATTTAATCACAATTATCACACGTAACGTTTTGCAAGCACAAAAAAAATGACAACGACGAGAATACGTATATATTCAAATTCATTTGTTTAATTCAGCAATTTTTTTTTTTCTAATTCTTCTCTTCTAAAAATCTTTATTTTTTTCTTCTGCTGTTTTACATTTCATTTTTCAATAAAAAATTTAAAATTATCGTTTACTTTTATGCTAGCTACTTTTTTTTTTGCTTTTTTAATTTTCTTTCAAAATAATTCTATTATTGGTATTCTTTTTCTTCCATATGGAAGTATTACTAATAAAACAAAATTTTATTGATGAAAGTTACTTTAGGAAAAAAAACGGAAGATTAATAAAATTGGAAGAGAAAAAAGTTTTTTATCAAAAAAAAAAAAAAAACGATGAAAAAGAAATGTGTGCAAATAATTTGATAGTAATATATTCCTCCTTTTTTTTACAATTTTACAACAAAATTATCTTTATTTCCTTTTAAAATTAAAAACGAAAGAAGACAGAAGATAAAATTTTATTCCTTTTCAATAAATTACTTTTAATACTTTCGCCAAAAATTAGCGAACGTAAAAAAAAATCGTTAAAACGGATATTATTGTGTTAATTTTTTAAAACTTTTTTCACTAAAATTATTTACTAAGTGTGTCAATTTTATTTTCACTAATAATTATAATAATGGATTTATGATATTATAATGAATTTCTCAATTTTAAAAATAAACCGTAAAAAAAAAAAGTTTGTTATAAAAAAAATTTTTGATATAATTTCTTTCCTTTCCTTCTTTCCTTCTTTTCATAGCATTTGCATTGACACTTAACTTTACCTCGCTGTACTTCTCTCCCTCTCTCTCCCTCCCTCTCTCTCTCTCTCTCTCTCTCTCTCTCTATTACTTCATCTAGTTTTGTTGAAAATATTATTAGGAAGCGAATATTAAAAATAATTTAATAATTAAAAAAAAAAGACTGAAAAGGAATTGTGTTTAATGATTAATAAATAAATTATTAATAAAGTGATCAAAAAGAAAAATTATGTCAAAAATAAAAATAAAGTTTAATACAGTTTTTAATATAGCAAAAAAAAACACAATTTAATGCAATAATTTACTGTTGCATAAGTAAGTAGTGAATAAAAGTTATTGATAATTAATTTGAAATGTACTAGATAAAAGTCATCAATAAATCTACAATTTTCAATCAAATAACACAAATTATTTATAATTGAAAGAAAGAAAGGAATATTAATAAAGAAAAATTTATAATTGAAAAATGAAATATTAAAAATGAAAAAATCCTTTTAGATATATCAAAATGCATTACATTTTTGCACAAATAACAAATAAAATGTAAGATTTGCTTTACAAATAAAATAGATTATATTATTCATTAGTGAATGAACTTACTAACTTATACTACATTATGAAATTAAATTTAGTAATGATTTAAATAAATAGATGGAATAGTTTATAATGATGTGAGCAAACATCTTCAAAAGTATATACTTATTTAAGCAAACAAAAAAAACAAAATCTTTAGCATAATGTTTGCTAATAAAATGTGAAAAGAAAGGTAAAAAATAAAAATATTGAATTACTTGAACATAATTTATTTTGAAAAAAGCAATTAATTAATTATAACCATAATTAGTAGCTTATAAATTAATTTTTTTTGCAGTAAAATTAAAATTATTTTACAAATTGATTCAACTATCATTTTTTTCATCTCTTGAAAAAAATTTAAACAAATTGAATGAATGAATAAAAAGTGGAAAAAAAATTATAAAAATATTTGGTGACGTAAAAAATGTAAGCAAAGTAATCGAATAATCAAAAAAAAAGAAATTGGAAATGTAAAAAGCTTTAAAGTATTATAAAGTGTAAAACAATAAGAAAATAATATTAGTTTCTATCAGTTTTTCTTCTTTTCAATTCAAACATTTATCAAAAGTAATCCTAAAAGAGTGAAAAGATTTCATTTAAAAGACATAACATTCGTTTCAAATTTCGGTACTATATGCTTATTGTTTTCATTTCAATTTCGATATATTCATTATATATATTTATGTGTGTATGTAAGTATGTATGTGCACTATATGCATGTTTACTTTGTGTGTATGTCCATGCATGAATGTGGATGTGTCTGCATTCGGTATGTGTATGTCTATGAAAGTGTATATGTATGCGTGTATGTGTGTCTATGAGAGCGTATATGTATGCGTGTGTCGCCACAATGGCGTGTGTCGCCACAATGTCCTAATGATCAAAGGCTATTGTTTTAAGTGATTTTAATCCACTTTGTAATCTTAACACCCATAAAATCCCTTCCAGTTTTCTTGTTTACAAAGCCATTCATTATAGTTTTTTGTTTGGTATGGCTCGGTTGCGAGGTGTCCAGCTTGCTTATATCTTTAAATTGTTTTGTGCAGTATGCCATGGTGTGCGGAAATCCGATCTGTTCTATCAAGATTGCGATGGTGTGACGCGTCCAGTGATATGGAGGGGGCGCTAAACGACTTGGAAAAGATTTTTGTACAATTCGAGGCCTGGCGATGGTCAAGGATTGATAACATAGTTACTCTCAACAGGGCGTGGTGCGCCTGGCGGAAGCACAAACCCAGTTTAATCCTTGGAAGAACGCTTTCGAGGTTGTTTGGAAATCAGACGGTGCATTGTGGAGTCTGATGTTGAAGCGATCCAAAAGCGTTGCGGTTGATACCTCGAGTGCGTATCTCGACTGTTGCAGAGTTGACGAAAATTCGTTTCATCACACTTTCCTGCTTGGTCGAGCGAAGACGGAAACGCTGACCTACGGATGTTTTCATCTGTGGAAATGGCTAAGTATGTTTACGAAATGCATCGACGTTTCTACCGAACTACGTAATGTCTTTATGTGAGAAAACGGATTGGAGCCCATTTTTCGTCAGGAAAGCGAATAAATCGCAATTGGTCTTCGTCAAAGGATTTTATCACATACATAACGTTATTGAATCGCTGTTGAATGTCAAAGAAGTGCGAGTTGGTCTCGTTCGAGCTAAACTGCGGATTTGCGGTGAGCTATATGAACTGCATGCTATTCTTGACGAGTGTGCGTTGCGTATTTGCGTATCACCTAAAGTGATAATAAAGAAAGTGAGGACTTTCTTAACTTTCTATGTGCGATAAGCAGGCGCGTTATCGGGGAGACAATTCTCGATGAAGCATTGTGGCACTGCCATGGTGAAATATATGCCAACGTCGAGTTTTGAATCGGTTGAGATCGACACGAAAGGCTTTCGCTAACAGTAAATTCGTGCTAAGTACAATGAAAGATATGCGTGAGGTGATGTCAAGTCTAGTCCTCGTTCGTTTGCTCAATTTTTGTGCACAATTACAATTAAGCATAATTGTAACTTGAGAGACACGAAGCCATGTGACTTTGTAAGCGCATGTTTCTTCTTATTGAGTTTGATGAGAATTGCTGGATATGTTCGTGCGTTTAAAAGGATTTTTGCGCCACGGAGTGCGAATGAAGATCCTAAAGATAAAGAGTTACCCCAAGAAGTGGAGAGAATAATGTTGGAATTTGACAGACAAGCTCGTGAAGATGGGTACTACCCGCCAGATTCAAATCGACAGAAGCAGAAATGCATTGGATATTGGCGATCCACCAGCTCAGGCGTGACATCTTTGGAGGTAAATTTGAGAATCGATGGAGTGGAGAAGACCATTAAGGCGAGAAAGAAAATGTTAGTTAGATGTGTATAGGGAGAGATTGTCTTGGTGCGCACAGGAGCAGTACCCAGAGGATGCTGGCCTATGGCGCGCATCACCAATAGCACAAGCCGGTAATATCCGAGCGGCACAATGTCCAATGGACACATTTGGGAAAGACCATTGAACTACCTCTACTTCTTAGAGCTGAGCATCAGTCAAAACAAACAGTACCAAGTCGTGGATCCGAATATCGAACTAGAAGATGACGAAGATGAAGAAAAATTATCCATCTGTCCTCGATTCAACGGAAGGAAAACGGTGCCAAAGAGCTAAGAGCAGACTGATAACAAGTTCAGTCGTTTTGTTTACTACATCTCGAGTCGAGAGTGTCGCCACAATGGCGAATCTATAACCTAATGAACAAGGACTATTGTTGAAATGATTTTAATCCATTTTGTAACCTTAACATTTCTTGTTTGGTATGATTCGGTTGCGAGGTGTCTAGCTTTCTTATATCATTAAGTGTTTTATAATTTACATTTGTGTGTTATGTATCAATTCATTATTGTAATGTTGTATAATTTTTATGTTAATCTGTGGTTTAATTACCCAAGTATGAGGTTTGAATAATAAATTATTTCACGAAGACTCCCACAGTACACGTACACAGAACGGAACCAGTACAGATTCGAGATTCTACCAGTATCGAGGACCAAGAAGTCAACGATCTGAACCGTCAAGAAGGGAAACCTACTTTGTTTTACAAGGAAACAGGGCAGTAAGAAAGAAATTGTTGCTTTTACAGCGTGTATGTGTATGTCTATGAAAGTGTATATGTATACGTGTATGTCCTATGTGCATGTTTACGTATGTGAGTATGACTGTAGATGTGTGTATGTGTGTGTGTGTGTGTGTGTGTGTGTGTATATGTGTATGTGTATGTATATGTGTGTGTGTATACGATATATAAATTATTATTGTATAAAGCTGTTCTAATAATGAAGTACACACCTGAAAATCATTCAATTCATTTTTGCAGGTAAACAAAAAAGCTTTTGTATTGGAAAGTTGAATGAAAGGAAAAAAAAAAACGAAAAATTATAGAAATGAAAAAAGAATAGGAAAAAAAGAACAAAATGTTTGAATTTTCAATCCATTTGTTTATTACTACATAATGGCAATGAAATATTTCAAAAATAAAAATTAATATTGATTTTATTGACTGACTTTTTTCTTTTGTTTTCATTTAGTTTCTTCGTTGTTTTTCTTTCTTTTTTTTTTTAAATTTAAACTTTCAAATGTTTCAGTATATTACATTTTGCTTAGTAAATGTGTTAAATGCTACTGCTTTTTTCATTTTCAAAGATTATTAAATTTTTTTTCAGAGAAAGAAAATAATTCTCAATTTTAGATGCTAATGGTTCAGTATTTCCATTCCAAAACTGATCATAAAAATAGAGATTGCTTAAATGATAATACCAATGATAGTAATAATAATAATGTAACAATAAATTAATTAGTTAAGTAAACAGGCGATGAAATAAGTTACTTAACTAATTAAATAAATAAGACGATAGTAAATAAGTGAAATAAATAAAATAAATTATTAAAAATAATTAAGTAGATGAATAACTAAATTAATTAATGAAACAAATAGTAATAACAAGTAATAGCAATAATAAATATTGATAAACTCCTTTCCATACGTGGTCTGACGTACGTGTCCTCTCATTTGTAATTCAGTATATTACTAGATATTTTAGAGTTCTTTCTGAAATTTATTTAAACTTTGGAAATTATTAACTTTCGTAAATATAGTTTACCTTTTTTTTGTTAAGCATTTTGTAATTAGCATTTTAATGAAAATATATGTTAGAAATTATAATGTAAGAAGAAAAAGAAAAAAAGAATTGCTGAGAGATAGTGCATAAGAAATTGTGAATGAATTATATTTGTTATACAGATATGATCAAAAAACATTAATATTTTGAAAGAGTTAAACAATAAAAATGCAATAAGTAGTAAAAAAATAAAAATAAGAGATGAGAGAGAGAGAGAGGGAGAGAGATGGAAAGAAAGACAAAAGTAAATTACATTAATAGGGAAAATGTAACATTGATAAAAAGAGACAAAATTTGATTTATATTAAATGTCAAACTTCCGAGAGGTTTTTTTCTTCTTTTTGGCCCACCACTAAACATATTTCACTTTATTTTTTATATCTTATTCATTAATCAACGAGAGAAAGAGAAAGGGAAAGAGAGAAAAAAAGAGAAAGGGAAAGGGGAAGAGAGAGGAATGAATAAGAAAACACTATGAAACTATTTCTGATAATATAATTGTAGAAATTTTCAAAATAAATAAGAAAAGAAAGAAATAATCATTTTTTAATTTTTCTTATTTTCTCTCTTTTTCTCTTTTTTAGAGAGATAAAATTTGCCTTTTTTAAAAGAAAAAAAAAATTTCTTTTTTAATTTAGAAGTAATACCTACCATTTTTTCATGTTACTTATTTCATAATACAAATATTTGCAATAATATTTATTTTTTTATTTTTTAACTAATAAATAATTAGAAAAAAAGAAATTATTCGTTTTGATATGTAAACAAAAAATTATTATTATTTTTCGTATAATTAATTATCATTTGATTCATTTTCTGATAAAGCAAATGGTAAATAATAATTATTTGAAGAAAATTCATTTATTTTTCAAAATATTTCTTGTGGTTTTCTCGTTTTTTTTTGCCATAATTTGATAAGTTTGAAGAAAAAAGAGAAATTAAAAAAAAAGTAAAGTATGGCCAATGAGTATTTGCTGAACTTTTCATTTGTCATTTGCTAATTTAATTAATTACTCATACTTATTATTTAATTGAAAAAAGATTTAAGTAAATTAAATTAGTTTTAATGTAAAAGTAACAATTAATTTAATTTGAAGTATTATTGATAGTTTTGCTTCAATAAATTATTGTAAATATGTTTGCATTTCATATTGGTATCGTAATGCTCTTAAAATTTAGTCATAAAATTAAAAAATTTAATTTGTAAATTTGTTTAACTTAATTTGTTCATGCATTTTTCAACGTATTAAATATAAATTTACAAAATTAGTAATAAAGTAATTATAATAAGATTAAAAAAAATTAATAAATAATTCATTATATTTTTTATATTTGATTCATTATATTATTTACTCAATTTCCTTGTTTATTTTGATAAATTACTAATTAATATGACACAATGTAATGCCACGTACGTTCACGTTTATTTTTCTATTTTTACACGCTTATGTTTACCTCCGTGTTTTTTTTTTTGTCATTTTAATAGTTAATATTTGAGTAATGAGTTGATACTATGATGAAAAATATTTCAAATTTACCAATGCAAAAGTCTTTTTAAAGTATTTTACGATTCATTTAAATATTAGTAAAAAAAAGATTTGTTAAAAAAAAAATGAAGTGAAAAGGTAATTATTTTAAGAGAAAAAAAAAACAGAAAGAAAAGATAATTAATTAAAATCAGAAATCAGAAAAGGAAATAATAAAATAAAGAAATATGATAAATTTGCAAATAATTTACAATAATGCTTTCCTTTTTTTTTAACCACCACAATTTCTATTCATCACTTAAAATTTGAATTGAAATAATCAAGATTTGATTGGAATAAATTACTTAAATGCATATAAATTTGGTGTAAATGATTCAAAATTTACTCAAACTTTTAATTAATATATTTTAATAAATTAAAATTAACTAAAATATCAAATTATCGGAAATTTTTCAAAAATTTAAGAGCCAAAACACACAAATTGATTTTACAATAAAATATATTTTATCAGTTATTTTTATCTTCCTCCCTCTCTCTCTCTCTCTTTTTTTTTTTTGACAAATTGAGTATTTTGTTTTTTTTTTTCATCGAATTTTTTACAAAAAAAAATGAAACCCTTTTTTTGTGACAAAAAAATTTTTTGTAAATTTAAAAATTAAGAAATCGAAATTTGTTAGCAAATAAACAGTTAAGCCTATGATAAAATAAAAGTGAAAATGAGACGTAAGAAAAGTAAGGAAAAGTACAATATTGCAATCTTAAAAACGTTCCACTTCTTTTCATTTCTTTTTTTTTTTCTTTTTTTTTTTTCCAAAAAAAAATTTTTGAATAAATGAATTCTTCAAGTTTTTTTTTTATTGAGAAAATGAGTGTTAAACAAATGAGAGCTAATTTTTGAAATTAATTACACTGAGAAAAAGTGTGATAGAAAAAAGTAAAATTTAAAGTTATTTTTGTAATTTGAAAAAAGAAAACAATTTAAATTTTATATACTTATTAGTAATTAAATTAATATTTATTAGAAATTAAACTAGTATAAATGAAATTTTAATTAATTGATCATTTAGCATAAAGTATTAGTATGAAAAGAAATATAAATGCTTTATAGATCTTGTGATTATAACTATTGATAAGATAACGAAGTGAAAATGAAATGAGTTATACCTATTACAATTTTTTTTTTTTATTTTATTTTGAAATATTATTTTCAAAAATGAAAATAAGCAACAAAAAAAAAGAAAATTAAGAAATATAATAAAATATTTCCATTTACTAGAAAAATAAATTTAAAAATATGAATATATAATGTTAAATTTTGAAATAAATCTGATAGTATAATCAATAATCAATCAAACAGTCAATCAATCGATCAACAACCAATCAATGATCAATCGATATATCATACTATTTGTGGGCAAAAAATGTTTAACGATTGAATTATTTGCACTTTAAGCTTAATATATGAGAATATGGTTATAGTTGTTCTCGAATAAATATTGCATATTTATTCGAGAACAACAAATATTTATTAACAATCATTAATAAAACACTATAATATTGTTTATGATAGTAGAGATCTATTATTGATAATTAAAATTTGTTAAGAAATTCAAAAGAACTATTATTTTTGTAACCAAAAAAAAAAAGAATAAAATAAAATAAAAAATTTTTCTTCAAGTAGAAAAATAAATTTAGCTATTGCGAACTTAATATAATTCAAACTTTCTTATTTTAAAAAAGTTTTTAAGAATTTTTTTTTAAATACTAAAAAAATATTTTAAAATGAAAACAAAAATTTTTTAAAAGGTTTGCTCTTTTTTTTTTTTTTGAAAAAGATTTATTCACCATATTGGTTGCTGTTTTGTTGATTGCTTGCTGGTACTGTTGTTTTTACTGATGGTGATAATGCTGATAATGACGATGATGATGATAACAGCTGTGTTTGTTGACTTGGCTGAATTAACTTAGCTGTTGTTGTTGTTGACGATGATGATGATGATGGAGATAATTTTGGATGGGAATTTTTTTTAGCCTGGAATAATAATTTACTAATAACAATTTATGATATTATCATAATTCATTTTGATAATTTCAACTTATCATCTACCAACGTATCAATCAATTATCAATTTTTGTTCTTTTTCTCCTTGGCATATCTAACATAGTAAGTCAATTTAATTAAATGAATATTTAACAAACTATTGTTTAACTTAAATAATAGATAAATTAGAAGAGAAAAAAATGATATGATAAATATCATATTATCAGTTTTAAATAAGTGATCCTAGTTGATAAAAGTATAATCAATCTAATCACTATTAGTCATACTTTCTAGCATTGAAAATTTGTCATTGATACTGATGAAGAATTATAAAAAATTTTCATTAATTTTATTGAATTATTATACTTTTAAAGCTTGTTTTTGATTCTTAAATTCAATAGCAATAAATAAAAATGATTAAATTTTGATAAAACGAAGTAATTAATTAAAACACCTGCACATATACAAGTTTACTTAAGTAATCATACGTACTTTTATAATTCATAATCATATTAGACATACACAGGTGAATCAAATCTTATATCACTAAATGTACATTTAATCACAATCATATATGATCGATGCAATCATTACAATTTGTATAATATGCAAATATTATATCGAAGATATTTATCAATTTCAAATATCGCAAATATTATATTAAATTTTAAATATTACGTCGCAAATATTTTTCAATTTCAATTTTTTTCAACATTAGATTTTAAATATTACATTGTAGATACTTGTCAATTTCAAATATCGCAAATATTATATTAAATTTTAAATATTACGTCGCAAATATTTTTCAATTTCAATTTTTTTCAACATTAGATTTTAAATATTACATTGTAGATATTTGTCAATTCCAAATATCGCAAATATTACGTCCAATTTCAAAAAAAAAAAAAAACGTAAAAAAAACGTAAAAAAAAAACGTAAAAATTATTATTATTTGAATGCATCAACCAATTCGATAATAAAGTAAAGTGCAGAAAATACAGTGAAAGTAAAGAAAGGGTTGTGCTAAGGAAATAATTGATTATTTTGACTAATTGTTTTGATCTGATCGGGAATGATCCAATCGATTATATTTCACCAAACAATATGAATTCATCTTCTTCTCGTTACATAACAATGTAAAAATAAAAAAAGGAAAAAAAAATTTATCAGAATTCATTAAATAATTAAAATAACAACAATTCTGATTTATATGATATTCAATTAATCCTAAATTGATATTTTATTGTTTTTTTCAGAAAAAAATGGAATATAAATTTATAATATAAATACGACTAAATAGATATGTTAGTATGAATTAATGGAAATTTGATATGAATTAAATGATAATTATTTGAATTAAAATTTTTCCATTCATCATATTTATCACTAAATAGAAGATTTGAATTACTAAAAATGATATAAAAAAAAAAGTGAAACTAATAAAATTTCTCAAAAAATAGAATTACTAATTTAATTTACTATTTCATTTTTTTGGTGAATAATTTTCTTGGAAAAAAACGGACTGTGTATATAACAATCAATTAAAAATTATTAATCTAAAAATCAGTACTCGAAATCAGAACTCTTTTTTGCATCTTTATATACGTACCAACAGGCAATTCTACTTTTATATAATTCATTTTAAATTATCTTATTTCTTTTATTATACTATCATTCATAAAAAGGAAAAAAAAAATTCAATAAAATAAAATTAAAGAAATAAATTAGAACATCGAAATAACATCGAATAAAAATTAGGAATTATTATAATTTCCATAAAATTTAATTCTCACTAATATCATTATTTATTGGCATAGATTTTATTTCATGTTTACATTTTTAAATTTTCAAATTATTTTTAATTTTTTAGTAAGAAAACCGAAAAAAGAAAAGAAAAAAAAATTTTTTTTCCTTTTCTTTACGAATTAAAAATTATTTTATATTTTAGATATTATATGTGAATGAGATGTGTCTAATTAACAATTTTTTTGATGAAATGTTTGCATATTTTTAAAAATATGAATTATTAATTGTAGAAAATAACTTTGAAAAAATATTTGACAATAAGATATGAGCTAATATTTACTTTTACTTTTTATCATTTTTCTCTACTTTTTTATGTTTACTTAAAAAAATAAATGAATTTGATAGTTTAAAGTTTGAAACTATTTAAATATTATCATTGCATGTTATCAAATTAATCTTTTATCATACATTTTTATTTATTTATTCATTTTTAAAAATTTTTTTAAAATAAAATGGTAAGGTAAAGATATGATGGAAAAAGTTTCAACTTATGTGAGAAACTAACATTGTATGCAATACTTTTTTACGTAAAAACTTCCAAATAATAATTTCATCAGAAATAAAACGTAAATGACGTAAAGTATTACTTATTTCACGTACTAATTTCTTATGGAGTGCAATTGAAAAATAATGGGAAAAAAATGGCAATATGGCGATAATTTTCTGAAATAAATTAATTAAAATTAATTTTTAGAATCAAAAAAAAAAAATTAAAATTACTCTTTAGCAATGTAAAGAATATTTTTAAAAAATTCGAGCAAAAAAAGAAATAAAGAATTGTGGATTAAATTAAGGGAATGAAACAATTTAGAAAATAACTTTTAATAATTTTCATCTAATAAATTTTAATTATTTTGTATCATTACTACATATTCATTAAAATAAAAATTATACTTTGTTAATGTTATTAATTAATTTAAATTATATTATTTAAAATATATGAAATCATATTTTAATAAATGGAAGAAATTAATAAATGAGAATTTTACTTTGATTAAATTATGAATTAAATATAAATTAAATATTTTATTTCATATTGCAGTATGCAATGGAAAAGAAATGAATTTTTTTAATTTCGTGATTTTTTTTGATGAAATTTTTACACATTTAGTAGATCAAAAGGAATGGTTCTTATTTCTAATATTATTTAAAAAAAATTATTAAATTATCAAAATCTTTGTTTATTTAAAAATTAAAAATATTTTTACCATAATATTATTATCAAATGAATTACATGCTTTTTTCAGAAATTGCAATAAATATTAATTAAAGAATTTATTTATTCATCCGATCATATATTCATCGTGGATTAATTAATTTATTTATTTATTTATTTGTTTATCGATTTATTTACTCATTTATTCATTCATTCATGCAATTACATTTATAAATTTTATGTAACAAAATTTTTCAAATAAATATGCAATTGTATAATAAATCCATAATTTAATATAAATTATGATTTAATATAAATTGAAATTTAATGTAAATTATGATTAATAATATAAATTACAAATACAATTTAAAAATAAATTTTTCTTTTTCACCATTTTACTTTTTTTTTGCGAAAAAGATTGCTTATTGAGATAGGGAAAAAAAGGAAAAAGAATGGCATTTTTGATTTGAAATATGTAAACAATAAGCATTGGATTTTTTAAAATGTTAACGGTATATTTGATAATATCAGAGAGAGGGAGAGAGGGACAGAGAGGGAGAGAGAGAGAGGGAGAGAGAGGGAGAGAGAAAGAGGAGAAAAATTTAAAGAAATGATAGCTTGCAAAGAGTGAAATAATTACTGAAAAGGAATGTTAAAAGAAATGAGATAAATACTTTTTTAATATAAATATAAATAATTTTTGAGTTAGGGAAAAATGATCGAAAAATATTTTTATGATGTGAAAATGATAAAAATATGATATGATATGATAAGAAATGAATCAAATAGTCACTGTAAACTGTTTCTCTCTCTTTCCCCCTCTCTCTCTCTCTCTCTCTCTCTCTCTCTCTCTCTCTCCTTCTACCTCTCTTTTTATTTATTTATTTTTTTCTTGATTTTTTTTCAAGGCATATGGTATGGAAATGAAATACTGAAAGATATAAGAAATTTCAAATTTGCAAAGAAAAAAAATTAAATCAAAAAAAATTTTAAATTTGCAAAAAAAAAATTTAAATCAAAAAACATTTCAAATTTGCGAAAGAAAAAAAATTAAATTAAAAGAAATTTCAAATTTGCAACAAAAAAAAATTTAAAACAAATCCTTATGATAATGGAAAAAGAAAAGAAAACAGAAAAATAATATAATTGGTGGTAAAATTCTAAAGTTTTTTTTCTTCTTTCCTCTTTTTTTTTTTTTTTGTTTTTCCAAAATTAATACTAAAAATGAAAAAGGAAATAAATAAGAAATAAAAAATTTCAATAAATAGAAAAAAATATTCAAATCAAATTTTAATATTTCAGGCGAACAAAATAAAAAAAAAACTAAAAATATTTAATGCTGCAATAAAATTCTGTTTTTTTTTAACCATTTAATCTAATTAGCAATAAAAACAATCTTTTTTTAAAAAAAAAATTTGTTTTATTCTTTGAAGTAAAATAAAAAAATGATGGAAGAAAAGTTTCCTAAATTTTCTTTAAAAATTTTCTAAACTAAATTAATGAATAAAAAAAAAAAAAAAGATGTAAAGCATAAATTTTTGTCATATGTAATCCAGATGCTTCATTTCATTAAAATAATTTTTAACAATGTAACATAAAGTTTTTATTTTTTCTAAAATCAAATTTCAATTTTCATTCTAAAATCAAACCATTTTTGCTTTTAATTTTTTCAATGCTTAATGTAAAAAAAAAATATTAATGCTAACAATAAGTAGAAATTGAATTTTGATGCAAATAATTTGAGAAATTTTTATCTCAGATTTCATTTTATATTTTTATTACAAAAATTAATTCTATTAAATGAAATTTTATGATATTATCAGATGCAATAATAACATTAATTATATTATTTAAGTTAGCTAATTAATATTAATTATAATTAGCCATACAATTTGCAATTATCGATAATGGCAAACTTATTTAAAAGATAACCAAATCAAATACATTCATTCTATCATAATTTATTATCGAAATACTTAATTATTACTATTAAAATTGAAAGATAGCAATAAAATATATTACATTACAAAAGTGAAATTTGAAAAACGAAAAACGAATGACAAATTAAATTTTTATTTTAATCATTTTTTCTTTTTTTTCGGCATTTAATTATAAAATGGCAAATTTTTTAACAATACAACGATTTGTTCAATAATAATCTTTGATAAAATAATCATTCATTCCATTTTTTTTTTATAATCGTTTAATTTTTGTGTCACATTTTTATGATTATCAAATAATAAAAATAAATTGCCGTTTTTTTCTTTTTTTTTTTCATTGAATTTTATGAAAAAAAAAAAAAGTTATATGCAATTAATAAAATGGTTAAAATATCGAAATAAAAAAAAAAAAAAAATTGCAATGAAAAAATTCAAAAATAAGTTTGGCACAAAATGACATCAATTAGAAATAAAGTATTCACATTTGTGTACTATTTCATACATTTTTATTTAACTAAAATGAAACGTTAAATGTTTTACTTATCAAAAATTTTAACGTAAAATATTTTACGTAAATATTTTAGGTTGATTAAAATTAAACGTGAATGTTTGTTTATATGATAGAAAATTTTACGTAAATATTTTAGTTTGATTAAAATTAAACGTGAATGTTTGTTTATATGATAGAAAATTTTACGTAAATATTTTAGTTTGATTAAAATTAAACGTGAATATTTGTTTATATGATAGAAAATTTTACGTAAATATTTTATTTTGATTAAAATTAAACGTGAATGTTTGTTTATATGATAGAAAATTTTACGTAAATATTTCAGTTTAATTAAAATTAAACGTGAATGTTTGTTTACTTAAATTTATCAAAAGAAATATTTAAAATCTTTTATATAATAATTTTAATATAAATGTTTGTTTATTTCAAATTTCACGTGAATTTCTTAATTGATTTACTCAAATCTAGCGCAAATGTCTTTTTATTAACGATTATAAATAATTGTTTGTTAACTTAAAATTCAGCGTAAATGTCTGTTTACTCTAAAGCATTTGAATGATTATTTTGTTTACCCGAAGTTTAATGTAAACAAAATTTCACGTAAACTTGAAAACCAACGTGCATACCTGTTTACTTGAATTTATCTCAGCATATAATTATAAATTTTAGGCTAAAAAAAATTGAAAATTAAATTTATTTTCATCTAATTTTTAATATTTTTTAATTTCACAATTTTATAAATATTTCTTTCTTTTTTTGCACTTAAATTAAGCAAATTGATTTTGATATAGAAAAAAATTTCACTTTTTACTTATTTTTTTTTTGTTTTGTAATAACAATTTTTTTTTTAAGAAAAGTGCCCAAAAATTTGCATACTAATTGGAATAAAAATTGCAATTAAATTTTTTACCTAAAAATTTGCTTAAATTTTTAGGTATTAAATCGTTGAAAACGCTAAGAAATGGCGAAAATATTTTGAAATAAAAGTATAAGAGTATTAAATTTAATTACATTTAAAAAAGGAAAAAATTTTTGGAAGAAAAAATGTTATTACTCTTTCTTTTTACTTCGTAATAAAACTAATTAAGGAATTTAAAAAAAGTCTAAAGTGAAAAAAAAGAAGAAAAAAACTATCCATAATGTCAACAAATTTCAATCTTTCTTATAAAGTTATTATTAGCTCTATTAATTTTAGAATGAAAGTGTAACAATATTTTTTTCAAAAATTTTCAGTCATTTTTTTAAATATAATTAAATTAAAAATTAGCACTGATATAATTGGATTATAAATTATTTGAAATTTATAGCTAAAAATTGATTGAAAATTATATTTAAATTACAATTAAAATTTTCAGTCATTTTTTTAAATATAATTAAATTAAAAATTAGCACTGATATAATTGGATTAAAAATTATTTGAAATTTATAGCTAAAAATTGATTGAAAATTATATTTTAATTACAATTAAAATTATCATAAAATTTTTCTACAACATTTACCATTTTGCTTTTAATAATATTTATATATTAAAAAATGGATTAAATTTACAGAAAAAAAAAAGAAAATGGATGAAAGGACAACAAACCAAATTTGCGATATATTCTCAAAAGTATCAAATAAACCGAACGAATGTTTATTGTTTATTTTCTCGATATAACAATCATACTTTTCGGCTGTAGTAAACGTCAAAATGTTACGTCAAAATTTTGGCGTAACTTTATCATTACTAAGTAATATAATTGCAACAAGTGTTTTTGCATTCTCCTTAGAATCATTAAAAAAAGTTTTCAATTTGAAGTTAAATTTAATATTATCTCAATTGAGCTAGCAAATTACGGAATGTATTTTTGAAAGTAAATTTTTAAGTAAATAAAAAAAAACTTTTTCATACAAAATTTTAGAATACTAAAATTACTTCACATTTAACTGTGATTTTTTAAGTAACACTTATAAGCTAAGTAATACGATGATATAATGCTTAATAATTTCAGTATTATTAAGTTAATTATATCAATCAAAAGTTTACAAAAATTAAAAAAAAACTAAAATTAAAACAATTTTTTTTTTAGATAAAAAATAAAAAAATTATTTAATAAATTATAAACAAAAAATTGCTTTGCCTAATAAAAATTTTAATTTGAAAATAAAAATTGACGATAAGTAGCAATGAGTATAAAAAAAAAGAAATAATTTTAATAAATAAAATTAGTATAATAAATAATACTACTAATAGTACAGCATTTATAAATTTTATGAAATTTTAATTTGAACATTAAAAATAAAAAATAAACTAACAAAAAAAAAAGAAATAAAAAATAAATAAATAATTTAATAAATTAAGCGAGAAAAATTAAATAAAAAAAAAATAAAATGGAAGAAAAACAAAAAACTCATTTCATAATTTAAATTATCATTAAACTTATCATTATCACTTACCTTATCACGATTACATTTTCTAATGTAACGAAGTGATGGCGCAATATGTTCAGCGATTGCTGTTGAATTAAAGTGGACAGTGCTATTACTACTGCTCGTACTCGAAGTATATTGATGTACTTCAACTGTACTTACCGAACGTTTCGATGATTTATTGCTCTTTCGATCAATTAAACTTCGCCGACAAATATTATTGCTCGGCTCATACGACTAAATTATAATAATAAAAATTATTTTTTTTTTTAAAAAAAAAAATTGTCACATTAATATTTTTTTGTTGATTTATGACTTTTTTCTTTTTGAAAAAGAATTAAATAGAGGTAATAATAGCAATAATAATAGTAATTATAATAGTATAAAATAATAATAGTAATAATAATAATAAATAACGATAGTAATAATGATAGTGAAATAATAATAATAGTAATACTAAAATAACAATAAATAGTAATAGTAATTATAATAATAATAAAATAACAATAGCAATAATAATGATCATAAAATAATAATAATAAATAATAATAGTAATAATAATGATAAATAATATCAATAACAATAACAGATAATAATAATGATAACGATAATAATAATAGTATTAATAATAATAGAAAAATTATAATAGCAGCAATAGAAATAATAAACTATATTAATAAAATGTCATATAATAATAATATTAATAATAACAACAATGATAAATAATAATAAACAACAATAACAATAATATTAATAACAATAAAAAAAAATATTTGATTTCATTTATCTATCATTCACTAAAATAATTTTAAAATTAAACAAAACTCTGCAAATTTTTTCTTTTTTAATATTACAATTTAGGAAAAAAAAGAAAGTTTTAATATTTTTGCAAAATTAATTTTTCCATTAACTTTTTTTTTTAAAAACAATCACAAAATTAGATTTTTTCTCTTTTTTTTTAAAGAAATAAAAAATAAACCATAATAATAGAATCCTGCGTGGTACTTAATTGATATAAGTGAACTTTTTCCACGCATTTACTACGACCACATTCACCGTGTAAATATGCTAATTCTTCTTTGGTTGATTTTTGAAAATTTACTAAACCAATTGGATGATGATGATTAAGAATGAGATTTAATCGATGCCATGTCATTGTTCTAAATATATGACAAATCATTTCTTAACAAATTTTCCTTTTGTTCTTTTTTTAAATTAAAATTTTTGCATTTTCCATTTTGAATAAAATTTTTTTTTGCATTTTGTCGAATACAATGAATTGAATAAAATTTTTGTTTAATTTTATTTAAAATTTTTGATCAACATAAGACATTAGAGAATAAAAGAAAAAAATGAGTTATTAGAATAATTATTTTGCACAACAAAAAACAAATTTAATTAATAATTCAAGTTGCTAGAATAATTATTTAAATAATTCAAGTTGCTAGAATAATTATTTTGCAACAAAAATAAATTTAATTAATCTAATTGATTATTAAAAAAAAAGAATTTAAAAAATTAAAAAAAAAGAAATATTATCATAAATTAAAAACTATATTAATTAGTTGTTTTAGAAAAAAAATAATTATTTATTGATCTATTAATTTGAAAGTTTTGTTTTTCTTTTCTAATTTATTTAGTAATTTTTAATTTTTAAGTGATTCTTTAAATTTTGAAACTATTTATTTACCTATCTTTGTTCAATTATTAGTAATATATTAATTTTGAGACCATTTTTTTCCTCAAATATTAAATATGAAATTACCTTTTTTTTTGTATTTGTTATTAATAATAATGCAACTGTAGCATTATTAATATTGAAATTATTTCTTCATAAATTTAATAATAATATTTTTTTCTGAAATTTTAAGAAACAAAAAATTTTTTTTTATTTTATCTTTTATTTATTTATCTGTTATAAAATGAATTAGTAATTTAACATATTTGTTTACACATTTAAAAAATAAATAAACACATACCTCAATTCTAGGATCCAAAGTTGTGGTTCTTCATTAGGTTTATCCAAACGTTGATGACAATAAACTAGAATAATATTACGTAGAAGAAATAAACAACGATTTGCATATTTATTATTCGGTTTTTGAAACCGGTAATCCGGATTTGTGTTCAGTATTTGTGTACGACCACGATTTTTACCAGTAATAGAAACACTTAATATGGTACTCTCGAAACGATTGAATAAATAAACGCAATTTTGATAAATGAATGGATCACAAAATAATGCTGAAAATTTATAAATTTAAAAAATTTTTAAATTACAAATTTCAATTAAATCATTTATTATGCAATAAATTTTTTTTTCGCATAAGCAAAATGTTTTATTATTAAAATTTTTTGCACTCAAATTGCAAATTATTATTTATTAAAAATTAATGAACATAAAGAATTTTTAATAATAAATAAAAAATATGTGAAATAATTTTAATTTTTTTCTTATTTCTTACAACTTCCGTTTATTTATATTATTTATTCAATTTTTATTTAATAGGTTAAAATGATTAACGAAATGGGCGAAATGTTTGCATATAACTATGCATTTTTTTTTTTTAAATATGCCAAAATATCGTCTAATTCAGGAATTGATTTTAAGAAAAGAATTTATTCTTTAACTGAACTACCGCGAATAACCGGGATTAGTGGATATAACCGGAGCTAACGGGAATGATAACTAAGCTATCAGTAAGAGTTTTAATTTGCAGAGAAAATGATAAAATCAATTCTTAAAAGACAATAAGAATAAGTAGTAATTAAAAATTTAGGTTTAAATTAAGGCAAAGAATTTTGACCTTTGTTTCAATATTTAGCAGACGAAAATGTTAAAAAGTAATTAACAACTTTTTCAATTGTCACTTTCTTGAGTGAAATCCAAAATGATTGAAATATCAAATATCAAAGAATTTAACAAAAGTTCAAAGAATATTTAAAGCAACGAAACATAAAAAAGAAAAGGAAAAGAAAAAAAAAGAAATCAATAAAATTTAACAATGAAAATGAAAAAGTTCAAAAATTAATTTATTTAAAAAATAGATCAGCAAAAAAAAAAAAGGAAAAAGAAAAGAAAAGAAAATGTATTAGTAGAAATTAAAAAAAAAATTTACAAATAAAAAAAAATTATTTTACAAATGTATAAACTTTATATAAATTTACCTTTTTTATCTTTAATAGATGGTTCAATAATAATTGTTCGAATACCTTTACGTGAATAAAAATTTGACAAATGCAAAAGCCATATTTTTGGTGAATCATTTCGAATTTTACTTTGCAATGATAATGGATATGATATTAAAACAGGACCTGTTTCATCGTATATTACTGTTGTTGTATAATGTTTCCTTTAAAAAAAAATTTAAATTTAAATTTAAATTTAAAAAATTTTTTACTCAATTTTAACAAAAAATTTTTTTCCCTTTTTTTTAAAATACAAATAAAACATTTATTCTTCTCTATTTTTAAAAATTTTTTTTTTTTTTTGCAATATTTTGCAAATTTCTATAGTCAGATAATTACTAAAATTAAAATTTCACAACGACAAAAAGAAAAAAAAATAATAAATTTTTTTTTTTATAAAAGAAATTTTTTTTCAAATCTAAATTACATTTCTTTCTTTTTCGTTTTTATTTTGTAATTTTTTAGAAAAATTTCTATATTATTTAACTGTAAAAAAAAAGTTTTATGAAAAATATAAATTAATTTAATTTTGTCACTTTTTTATTGTTCTTTTTGTAAACTTTTTCTCTTTTCTAATTAATTAAATAATTCAGTAATAATTTTTTAATTAAATAATTCAGTTTTACAATTAAATATTATTTTGTAATTTATCTTTACTTACTTGCAAACAATTTGTGTAAAAGTAATGGTAGTACAAATAACGATTAATTTTAATGCAAAATTTATTGCTCCTTTTGTTATGTACAAATTTCCTTCACGATTTTGTAATATTAAACAAATCGTTTCCATATCCAAAAATGCTATATCAAATATCTAAAAAGTTTCATTCGTATAAATGAATAATTTTTTTTAAAAAAAAAAATTGTTTTAATTTTTTTTTTTTATTTCCTAAAAAAGAAAACATTGAGATTTTTTCAGAAAAAAAAAAATTTATTTTCTCAATTATTTCAAAAATTTAAAGTTTAATCTCATCCTTTCTTTTTCTTTTCTTCTCTCTCTCCCTCTCTCTTTCTCCTCTCTTCTCTTGATTTCTTTTCCATTCTCTCTCTCCCTCTCTCTCTCTTAGATATATATGAATAATTTTTATTGAAATTAATCCATTTTAATTGTATATAATGTAACAATAAATTTATATCATTTTAACATTATTGTCATTTAAGATGTTAAATTAAATTTATATTAATTAATTCGTTTTCTTTTTAAATTATTTAAATTACTTAAATTACTTAAAAAGTAATTACCGTATCTTCGCTATGCTTAAAATCAATTCCAGTAATTGTGTAATTGTCGCATTGATTTTCATCATCAGTATCGTATAAATAAAGTTGTTTATTAGTTTTCCTAAAAAAATTTTTTTCTTTTTTTTTAAATTAAAAAAAAATTTTAAAAAAATGCATTAATTGAAGAAAAAAAAGAAGAAGCGAAAAAAAAATAATGCCAAATTGTTACATTTTGAAATTTTTTTTTTAACAAATTTGCATCTTTTCCAGAAATTTTTATTTTTTATTTCACAAAAAAAAAAAAATTATTTTATCAAAAAAAGAGAAATGAAAAAATTATTACAAATATAAATGTAATAATATGAATTTAGGATTTCTTTTCTTTTCTTTTAATATATTTTATTACATTTTTTAAACTTTTTAAATAATTTAACAATTTTAGAACAAAATGAAGAAAAAAAAAGAAAAATATTTAATAATTTTGTTGAAAATAAAAATAAACAAATATGGAAAGAATAAAAGAAAGAAAACTGATGGATATGAATAATAAACGAATCAAATTTGTGTTTTTAAATAATTTTTTATAAAAATTTTTGAAAAATCAGAAAATAAATAAAATGTAAAAACCGGAAAATTCATTTACCAATTTTAAACTAAAATTATTAATTAACATTTATTGCATTTTTTGAAATTTGTTCCTTTATCTTTTAACTTTTAATAGTTTTGCTATTAAAATAAAAATAGCATAGCAAATAATTATTTGCAAAAATGAAATTACATATTTTTCATTTTTATGTTAGAAATGTAAATTCGACGAATAAATAATTTTTGGCCGAAATAAAATGAGGAAATAAAGATAATAAAAACAGTTTTTTTTTTTTTTGTTTAATTTGTTATCTAAAATTAAGATAAATATTTTAATTCATTTTAAAATTATTTATTTTTCAGTATGCTTAAATTTTTCAATCACAAACTGATCGATTTGTATTTTTATTTTTTTTTTGTTTAAAAAAAAGCAATAAATCTTATAACTTTAAAAGCATTAAATTAAAATAAAAAGTTATTAATTTGCAATTGCACTAAACAAGTTTTAATTAAAATTATTTCAAAAGAACAATTAATAATAGAAGTTAAATACTAATTTTGTGATTTCAATGCAACAATTAATGCTTTCCTGTTTAAAATTTTTTTCTTGTTTATCTTTTCATTGAAAGAATATTGAATTCAAAATGTGAAATTTTTTTAAATTGGAAGTTGAAAGACATATGAATGAAATTAAAAACTTTTTTTCATAAATGCGATAAAGTTAAAATATAATTTAAATAATTTAAATTTAAATGAAAATTAAAATTAGACGTATATTAAACTAAATCAAATTTTAGTTTTTTTTTTTTTTTTTTTCAATAACAATCAAATAGTAGAAAAAATGATAAAATAAATAACAATTTTAGTATCTTAATCCTAAAAACTATATGAATTAATTTCAAGAAATGTCTATTTTTTAAAAAAAAAAATTTCTGTTGCGATGAAAAAACAAAAACAAAATAAATTTTACAGCATAATAATTATTAAGTTTAGCTTTAAAATAAAATTACAACTTTGCTTTTTTTTTTTAAATTAAATTAACAATTTTTTTATTGTTAAAAAAAGATTAATAGAATTTTAAAAACATTATTTTATAAAATATTTCTTATTCCATTCAAAAAAAGGAAAGAACTTACTTAAATAAAAGTTTTTTTGCATCCGGTGAAACAGCCATTGTACGATATGCTGTACTTACACCGGTAAATGACCGTAAATCTTTCATTTCATTCATATCATAATCCGTTTCAATCTTTGATCCACTTGCGCAATTCAAAATATTTAAATCGATAAAACTTCGACATTGCATCATTTCAACTGTTGTCGTATTCACTTTCTCTCTCATTTGCGCTATTATTTTTCGACTGAAATGATAATATATCTTCAAATATTTATAATATTTCATTTTAATTATTATAGTAATTAATAATAGAGGAAAACAATAATAATAATAATCAATAACAATAATTATTATAGTAATTAATAATAGTGGAGAACAATAATAACAATAATAATAATAATCAATATTAATAATAATAATAATAATAATAATAATAATAAATAACAATAATGATAATCAATATCAATAATTATTATAGTAATTAATAATAGTGGAGAACAATAATAATAATAATAATAATAATAATAATAATAATAATAATAATAATAATAATAATAATAATAATAATAATAATAATCAATAACAATAATTATTATAATAATTAATAATAGTAGAAAATAATAATAATAATAATAATCAATATCAATAACAATAGTAATAATAATTGATAAATACAATTAGTAAATTATAATTCACTAATTTGAAACTGTCAAATAAACGATAAGTAATTTTGTTCACATTGTAATATTATGAATTAATTCGTAGAAATTTCAGTAAACGATCAATGAATTTCTTGTTTCTCTCTCTCTCTCTTTTTTTTTTCATAACATTCCTAAATTTTAAATTTTAACGAAAAAGAAGAAAAAAAACAGCACAAGCATTTAATATATTATTTCAACGATCAATTAATAATCAATTACAAATGTTAATCTTAAAGTAATTAATTAAAAAGAAAAATTTTTTAGTATCTGTCTTGATTTTAATTGGTTTTTTTTTTTTCACTAAAATTGTAAATTATTATGTTAAATGAAAACTGAATGTTTTTTTTTTTTTGCTTTTTTTATAAATATATTTTTAATATTATTGGTGATAATATTTTGATTTAATTTTTTTTGAATTTTATTCATTTCACTTTCTTTTTTTAAAAAAAATACTGTTCAAATTTTCTCGTACAATTGTAATTTTTTTTATTATAAATCAATCTAAATATTTTAATTCTCAAAATATTATTCAATTCAATGAATATTGTTTCATAGTTCAAAATATTATGCAAAAAATAAAAAATTAAATCGAAAATTGAATTAAAAGTTCAAATCATAAAAAAGAGAAAAAATTATGATAAATATTCAAAAAAAAAAAAGAATAGCAAATATGCAACAACAAAAAAAAAAAAAAAGTATATACTAAATATTAAATATAGTATTAATAAAGTAAACAAATTGCTAAAATCAGGTTTTTCTCTTTTTTTTTTTCTTCACTACAATTTCTCGAAATTTTGAATTATTATGTTTAATCTTATAGTTTTCTTTCTTTTTTTTTTTGAGAAAATCAACAATTTTCAGTACAAAGGAATTGTTGTAAAAAAAAAAAAAAATATTTAAATTTTTTTAAAGGTAAAAGTCCTTTCGTACATAAAATCTTTTCGTTTTTCTTTGCTTTTTTTTTTGGAAAGAAAAATTAATGAAATTTCCATTATTTGTAAATATGCAAAGAAAAAAAACGATAAAAATGATTGGTTATTGGTACTTTTTGGTAAGATAGTTTTAAAGTTTAAAACTAGTTTAAAACAAATAATGTGTGTACTGTGTGTCTGCTATATATGTACGTGTGTGTGTCTGCTATTTATGTGTATGTATGTGTGTGTGTGTCTGCTATATATGTACGTGTGTGTGTGTCTGCTATATATGTACGTGTGTGTGTGTCTGCTATTTATGTACGTGTATGTATGTGTGTGCATGTGTGTCTGCTATGTATGTATGTGTGTGTGTCTGCTACGTATGTATGTATATGTGTGTGTGTGCCTGCTATATATGTACATGTATGTGTGTGCATGTGTGTCTACTATTTATGTGTATGTATGTATGTGCGTGTGTGTCTGCTATATATGTACGTGTATGTGTGTCTACTATTTATGTGTATGTATGTGTGTGTGTGTCTGCTACGTATGTATGTGTGCATGTATGTCTGCTATGTACGTATGTGTGTGTCTGCTATGTACCTATGTGTGTATGTGTATGTGCATATGTATATGTGTGTCCGTGTTCATGTGTGTGCATATGTGTTTGTCCGTGTGCATGTGTGTATATACGTGTGTGTATGTGTGCATGTGTACATATGTGTGTGTAGTGTGTCCGTGTGCATGTGTGTATGTATGTATGTGTATGTATGTATGTGTGTGTGTGTATATACGTGTGTGTAGTGTGTGTATGTATGTGTGTATATGTGTGCACGTGTGTGCATATGTGTGTGTGTATATATGTGTGTGTAGTGTGTCCGTGTGCATGTGTGTATGTATGTATGTGTATGTATGTATGTGTGTGTGTGTATATACGTGTGTGTATGTATGTGTGTATATGTGTGCACGTGTGTGCATATGTGTGTGTGTATATATGTGTGTGTAGTGTGTCCGTCTGCATGTGTGTATATACGTGTGTGTATGTGTGCATGTGTATGTATGTGTATGTATGTGTGTGTATGTGTGTATGTATCAAAATTTTGACAGTGAAATTGTCACCGTACTGTCATTACTAACAATGAAAGCGACAACATAAACATTAGTATCTGTTACTACCATTTCAAATTGTTTTAATTTCAACACATTACGAAACAAAAAAAAAATGAAACACAAAAGAATTATAAAATTTTTTTTTTCGTAAATTTCTTAAAAGTATTATTTATTTATTTTTTTTTAATTTTTAAATAATAAAATTTCTTTATAAAAATGAATAATGAATGATTGAACTGCTATTTCGTTAGTATTAATTGAAATTTTCGCTTTTTTTTTTTTTTAAAAGGAAATTTTCTTAAATGATTGATATTTTTTGAATGTAAAATTTTCAAAATCAATTTTTGCTTCTTTTTTTTTGCGGTAAATAAAAAAAAGATAAGAAGAATAAATAAAATTAAAACAATAAAAATAATATTTTAATTAAACAATGAATTTTTAAGTATAATTATATTTCAATAAGCATTTATTTATGTTTTTTTTTTTTTAAACAAACAAGTAAAAACAAACAAAAAAAAAATTTTTTTACAAATGATTTATTCTTTGAGAGTTACTTTTTTTTTTTTCATTGTGATAATTTTCATTTTATAAAATAATATTTGAAAGAATTTATTTTGCATAAAAATATTTGGCCATACAATAAAGTAAAATCTTTATTGTTATAGTATTTCTCAAAAAAAAAAAAATTTTTTTTTAAACTATAATAAATACTAAAAAATGGTTGAAAAAAAGGAATGCAATTGTTTTTGTTAAAAATAAATAAATAAATAAATTATTATTTATATTTTTACTAGTGGTACTTAATTCTTGTTGCATTATTTATAAATATAAAAGTGAAAAATTTTTTTTTCAGAATTAATGAATTATGATATATTGCATTTATTATAATAAAAATTGACTAATAATATTTTTAATTATCACTTTAGGATAATTAAATTTGATTAATGTAATTGAGTAAATTAATTTTTAAATGTTTTACTAACTAATATTGTCTAAATTATTGAAAATACAATAATCATTTAAGATTATTACTTACAATTCTATTATTTACTTACATTTTTTCCTAATTGTCTTTGCTTTTACTCATCCAATAATTTTTTTTTTTAAATCTTTTAAATGCAAATTTACGATTGCAATAAAAATTTTGCTGTTCTATCATTAATTAAGCTTAACAATAAGTAATCAATGATAAGAAATAAGTTATTTAGTATAATAGCATTAATTAACTTTAATTTTATTAATTAAGTGTTAATGTTCACTGATCCTTTAATTATTTTGAAATAAAATAATTAAAACAAATAATTAAATATTACTATAGAAACAAAGCTGAAAAAAAATTTGCTAAATTTCTAATTTTTGATAATTTTAAATTAAAAAAAAAGTAAATTCTAAAAAAAAAAAAAAATTAAAAGTAAATTTTCTAAAAGTAAGGTGAAATCTCTTTTTTTTTTCAAGAATTTGCATAGAAAAGAATAAATTAATAGAACAAAATATATGCAAAATGGAAATTAATAATGATTAAAATTTTTTACTTTCATTAAAAAGTAAAAATATTGTAGTACTATTTTTTTTTTTTAAATTAAAAAATTAAACTATTTATTTTTTTAATTAAATATTGATAATAATAACAATAAATAATAATTTATAAAGGAAAAATTTTCTCTTCAAATTTCTAAAATTACCATTTATCAAAAAATGAAAAAAATAAACTAAAAAAAGAATCGATAGTCGGCGAAATTTTTTTTTGTAAAATGAAAAAGATAAGAAATGAATTAACAGAATTAAATTTAATGATTTCATTTGCATCATTGAGGTTTAAATATTTGAAATAACAAATAAATTAAGTGTCTGTTGCTGGATTTAAAAAAAAAATTTCCGTTTCTTCCACTTAAAAGTTTTTTAATTTAAAAGAAAATTTAAAGGAATGAAATTAAAACAGAAAATAAAAAAAAAAAAGTGCAGAAGCGGAAATAGCTTTTGTTATTACAAACACTTAACTTATTTGTTTACATTAACCTTTTTTTTTTTTTTTTTTTTTTAAATTAAAAATAAACAATATAAAATCTAGTTTGTAGCCACTGATTATTTCTTCTTCAATAACAATAAAATTAAGAGAAAAAACAATTTTAATATTTTTAAAAAAAAATTCAAATTAATTTTTCCGAATTTTTTTTTTGGCTAATAAAAAGGAAAGGCATATTGCTCATTTAAAAGGAAATTTTAGAGAATATCAAATGAAATGAATGGCTTTTCTTATATGTTTAACTATTATAATTTAAAATTAAAAAAATTGTAAATTTCGTCGAAATTTTAAAAAATTTTAAAAATCAATTATTCTTAAAAATTTTTTTTTTTAAAATTTTATTCTTTTTATTTTTGAAAATATATTTGTCATGTCAAAAATCAAAGCAATATTTTCAAGATTTTATTAATGCCTGTAAAATTTTTGAAAAAAATTTCAATTCATTTTTTTTTAATTGTTTACTTTACTTTTGTATCA